GAATCTCCTTTCCTCTTCCGTAAAATAACTAAAGCCTTCCCTGCCTACCAATTAGAGTTGTTGGGGGACCCAATGCTCAAATCCTTTCTCCTCCATTAAGACTTCTCAGGAGTCATCTCTTTTTTCTGTGAACTCCCATTGTGTCCTGTTCCTTTCTTTTTGCACATTTTCACCTTAGGCCATGTTATTATTTATATAAGTATGCACATACATGCTGAACTGTAAGCCCCATGATAGCAGCAATCAGGTCATATTCTTCTTTGAGGCTTCTGCAACACCCAGCCTTGAACAAAGTAGACACTAAACCAGTACCTGTTAACTACTCGCATGAATGGATTTTCAAAATGGCACCACATTATACAAATATGGGACATCGTTATTACTAGTCATTCTTGAAGTACTGTGAGCTCTTTGGCGAGAAAGAATTCTATGCATGAAAACCCTCTCATTATCAGTATGATGTAGGAAGTTTCCTTCAGCATATTATATGCATACTCACATGTGCACCTGTTTCTTTCAATGCATCTGCGGTCTCACTGATGTGGGAACATCCTCCAGTGCTGCAGACTCACTACGATCTGCTTTTCCATCGTTATCTTAGACTGCCTTGTCATTGTTAGGATGCTGCAAGGCTTCTTACGTCCACTAGGAAGCACCTGAGGTACAGTAGAAAGAGCACTCACTTTGGATTCTGAGGACTTTGGGTTCACACCCTGTCTCTGAAGCTGTCTTGGACAAGTCACAGCCTCCTTAGACCTCTGTGTTGGATAAAAGGGTTGGACTCAGACTCGGTAGTTTCTGAGGTCGCTCCAGCTTTAGATCTAGAAGCTCCTATGATCCTATAGGTCCTTCTTGTCGCCCTTTCAGTGACTTGCAAATTTGACTCCTCGGAGATTGTGATTTACAGCCCAATACCATCATAAGAACGACTTTCAGTGCGGATGTTGCCTCTAAAGTGCACAGATTGAAATCCACCCATACTTTCTTATCCTGGGGGATCCTGGTCTATGTCCTTCCATAATTTACCATTAGGAGTCTTCCTCTACCATTACTGACCTTGTGTAGATAGATGCCAATGAAGCAGATGGCATGTCCATGTTTTTATTATTCTCTCTCTCTCTCTCTCTCTCTCTCTCTCTCTCTCTGTTAACGTCCTTATATAACTATAAAACACTTTGTTGGTAACGTCTTACATAACCTATTCACACCCACTGTGCACCTCTCTATTACTCTTTGGTTTACCAACAACTTTAATTCTTTAGACACTGTAGTATTTCATGACCTAAGCATCATCGGAAAAAAATTAGTGTCAGAAGAATTGACCTTTGTTTTTAAGGAGCTTGGAGTTATTAAGTGTACCATGAAATTTCCCGAAGGCAATCCAGTCCACCAGCCTTTCCTGTGCGTACATAGTCTTAAAAAGGTTTGTAATGAGAACCAGGCATATGGATCAGTAATAATTAGTGTTCTCTTGGTTGCCTTTCTTTTTTGCAAAATAATAGGGTCCAAGATTTTTTTTCCAAGCATTTTGTATTCTTCCCCATTTCAGATACCTTGACAATTAAGATCCTTTGATACCCTCATCTCTGTTTATACTTGGTCTGGTTCAAGTTATTTCAAGTTTAACATCATAGTTACAATATTAGCCAGGCATCCTTCCCCTTTTTTTGTTTTCTTTTGTGGAACTTCTACTTCTTCATGCAGTACTTTAGAGACTATAAGGTTATATGGTAGCTTTACTGTTATTAAAGGAGAAAAGAATTTATTAGATAATGAAACATCCTCAGGGAAATAAATTAGGTGCAAAAAATGTACAGACAGATGTAAACAAACCTAGAAGCCTAGTGTCTAATGAACCCCAAAAGCCCAAAGAACAGGGTATAGACTCGCGCTATTTGACAAAACTGCTGGCAGAAATTAGGTTTAGACCAGCAGTTGATGCCATATGCCAAGATAAGCTTAATGACTTAGACATAAAAGGTCACATCAAAAACAAATGAGAGAAGCAAGGAAGAAATTACCTTTCACAGCTATGGATAATAGGAAAATTCATGAACAAATGAAGATAGAGAAGATTACAGAAGATAAAATGGACAATTTTGATTATGTAAAACTGAAAAATTTTTGCAACAAACAAAACTAATGCAGTTAAAATTAAAAGAAAAACTATTAACTCATGGGGGGAGGAAATCTCTGCATCAAGTTTCTCTGAAAAAAGTCTTATTTTTGAGATATATAGTAAATTGATTTAAATTTATAAGAAATAAGAACTATTCCCCAGTTGGTAAATGATCAAAGGACATAAATCTAATAGAGTAGTATTATGCCATAAAAATGATAAAAAGGACAGTTTCAAAGAAACCTGGGAAGACCTGTAAGAGCTTACACAGAGTGAAGTAAGCAGAATCAGGAAAATAATTTATATAATAACAGTATTGTAAAGATGAACGGCTTTGAAAGACTTAAGAATAACGATCAACTCAGTGACTAGCCACAATTCCAGAGGACCAACGATGAAGCATGCTGCCTACCTCCTGAAAGAGAGGTGATGGACTCAAGATATAAAATGAGACATAATTTTTTTAGACATGGTCATTGAGGGAATTTATTGTGGTTGACTCGTCATATTTGTTATGTGGTTTTATTTTTTTCTTTTTCAATGTGGTGAAGATAAGAGAGGGAGAAAATTAGGCCTTGTTAATTAAAAAAAGAAAAGTTCAAAAGTAAGCATAGTGAGACCTTGTATTCCCTACGTCTTTGTTAATTGTTTTGAATATGCTTTACTGTGTAATTTTTTTAATGGAAAATTAAATAATCTCTAAAAAGTCAAGAAAGCTGCTCTACTTTTGGCAGAGGGAAATCTCGGTGGGTGTCCAGATGATGGAAGTCTCCATCACTACTATACATATCTCCATACTACACTTATGATCTATTTCCCAAATTCTTTACTATTTCCTCTTTCTGTTTAGGTGGCATGTAATATACTTCTTTGATAATACCACATTGGATATGCTGGCACACATCTCTCATCCCTGATACTGGGGGGAGACTGAGGCCAATGGTTTGCTTGAGTTTAGGAGTTCTGAGCTACAGTACAGCTAAAGCCAATTCAATGTCCACACTAAGTCCAGCACAAATATGGTGAGCCTCCAGTAGCAGAGGGCCACCCAGGCTGCCTAACGAGGAGAAAGCTGGCCTAGATCAGAAAAACCAAGCTGGCTAAAGTCTCTGTACCAATCAGAATTAGGATCAGGTGTGGAGTAGCCACTGCACTTCCAACCTGGGTGAGTTAAGGAGACCCAGTCTCAACAACAATAACAAGATGCCATTTTTGTTTCTACTTCCATTGATCTTTACCCAAATTATATCCGCCATATTTTTTCCCTCTCTTTCTTGGACTTCCTTCCATGAGTTTATCTTTTAAATACACAATGCTACTCTGTCCTCTCTTTAAACTTCCTTTTTCCTTTTGAATAATTTATACTGTTCCAAAGCCACATTCCAAGTACAAGTCCCATGCTACCAAGTTGCAGTGATACCTATAATGTCAAATTGTCCTCCTTATATGATGAGCTCTAGCTTCCTAGAGGAAACTGTAATGTGTTGTATAACCTATTCACACTTATACACCTATTCTGTGTATTGTATACAGACATCTGAAATCGCAGGTTTTATTACTGATTCCCTTTTTAGATCCTTTCTCTTGTGAGTTTCTAGGAATTTCTACTACTATTCTTCTTACGTGGTAGTTACTCCCTATGGTATTAAGCTTGGTGAATATATGTAGGCAGTTTCTTCTCTTCCTCTTTCCATTATAAAGAAGCTTGATTTGATTTGCAGTTTGCTAAAAAAAAAACTCTTTAAGAAATTTTTTTACCAGTTCTTGTGAAATGTACTCTATTCCTGGCCAAGAGCTTGTCATTCCAATATTTTAAACTATGGTCCAGAAATCAAGTTCTGATGTAAAAATGAGCACCCTGACCACAATCCCATGGAGACTTCTTTAGCCTATGTACGGTATTGAAAAAAAGTAGAGGATAACAAGTATGATTCTTGGGCTAGAAAATGAAACTTTTGACGAAAACATAAGGGAATGGGGTTATTTTGCAAAAAGATAAGGAATAATTGAATACTGAGCCTTAATTATTAAATAAGGTAGTTGTTATGAGGCTCAATTGCATAAATATCATCTCTTCCATGAATGTTTATTTCTCTGATCCTCCTACTCAGAAGTAATCATTTTCTCTCCTGACCAATTATAGTATTCCTAACTTGTTCCAACAACAGCAACAACAATAATCACTGGCATCTACGTGTTTGCAAAGCACTTACCCTACATTCTCGTCTGGTCCTCAAAACAATTCTTTTAAATAGGTGCTATTCCTCCATTTTATAGATGAGAAAATTGAGGCTTAGATTTAGTGACTTGCCTAGGGTCATATACTATTAAGTGTTTGGGACAGGATTTAAACCCAAGTCCTCATGATTCCAAGTTCAACACTCTATTATGTCATGGTATATTTATGGTTTTGCGGGAAAAAAAATGAATAAAGCATTTTTAGATGCTTACTATGTGCAAAGCATGGCGGTGATCAACATGGTGGTGATAGTAGTTCGACTTGCCTGGCACATGTTGCCTCCTTTCCCTCCCTCTGGATGCCTTGCTGCTTCTGCTAGGCTGACTTGCCTGCCCTCTGAGAGGCAGTTAGTTGACAACAGGTGGGGATGGGGTAGCCGCTTCTCCATAGGAGTTGCTTTCCCTGGATGATGGCATTGACAGCTGGGTGAGAAGCAGGACCCGTGTTGTGGGAGGTGCTACCAGTCCCATGGCTCCTGTGTTTATCTATTCATTGGTGAATAAGCCAAATCATCCTCTAAGGTGTTTTCCTGCCCTGAGATTCTTTGATTCACTTTGGTTACATAGAACTAACCTAAATGCTAGACATTTTCCTTTTTTCTTTCTTCCTTTTTTGACCTTGGTTAATTTGTTGCTGTGACAGGCATTACAGATAATGCAGTAGGCGACCAGGAATTAGACCCAGTGGAAGAGAAGTTGCGCTCAAAAATGGAGGAAGAAAAAAAAAGGTACCATTTAATTCTTACTGATCATTCTACAAATTGACAAAAACCTTATCAAAATGGTCCATAGCACATACATTAAAGCATTCATGCTCTGTGGTGAAACTACCAGAGATGCCCTCAAAAGGTTCCTATGTCTGTCACTGGTCTAGATAAGTGACCCCTGGCATCAAGAAATTGACAATGTCCTCATGACCCCACCTTTTTTATTTGTATTCTCTAGTACCTCTCTGTAGTAGTGAATCATAAGAAGACACTTAAGTCAGCTGTTTAGAACAGAGAAGTTATATTATTAGGGAGGAAGAAATCTCAGGGTGCAAACCTGCATAGCTGATTCCAGGTATATGGCATATTCATAGAAGTCAGACAATTTAGTTACTCGAGTCTGGCTTCTTGGTTCCGATCTGTTTCATACTCACAAACTGATTAGGCAACAACCCTTAGCCTCCTTGTCCTAGGAGAAGACAGAGTCCTTTATGGCTGTGTTCCAGGTACAATCCCTGGATTCAGAATGAAGTTGTATTCCCTAACAGTCCCTAATAACTACAGAATACCTGCTTTCCTCCTTGGACTATGCACCTAGAACTTCCAGAATTCCATCTGTCTGCTCTCCTGGGGCATTTAGCCCAGCTCAGTGCTCAGAAACTACATATTTCCCTTTAGCTCTTGAGTCAATATTTTTTATCTGTCTCCCTCATCATTTCTTTTTCTTACCTTTTTGTCCAGTCTGTTCTTCTTATCTCCTCAGTCTCTTCTCCCTCAGTTATAGCCTTTCCTTGGTCATACTCCCTGCCTCCAAGTCATTTTGACTGACAACATATACACCCCAGGACTAACCTGTCTTTTGTTAGAAAGCTTCTGATTTATTTTTATGTAATATCAGTGCCCCCAAAACCCACATTTGCTTTAACATAGATAACTTCTGTCCTAGAACAAAAAAAGAAAGTGGGGCAGGACAATTACAATATATATATATAATTAGGGAGGAAATTATTCATCACACACACACACACACACACACACTTCCCCACAAAACCTTTTATGGTACTAAAATACCTCACCTGGATTCTCTATCATTTTTTCAACCAGCTGCCTCTGATGTCTCTATATTTGTTCCATCGTAGTCTGGCCTCAATGGCTCAGAATTTTTTGTGAATTGCCAGACCATCAGACATCAGAGACAAAACTTAGACTCCACAGAAGCTCTTGTGTGAAGAGCACCTCTGCTTTTGAAGCACCCAGCTGCATTGGCAGCTGCCCCTGGGACCTGACAGGTAGAATGAACATTGACATAGGTCCCTTAGGTGGTGACTTTTCATGCAGCCAACATAATGATTCCTCTCCATTTCACCATAGCTACAAAAAGATGTTCACTCACCTGAAAGGCCTAAAGGTGGAAATCGAGCACCTGCAGCTGCTAATGGAGAAAGCCAAGGTGAAACTGAAAAAAGAGTTTGAAGTTTGGTGGATAGAAGAGGCAATAAATCTGCAGGTACCTTGGGGCCACCTCCCTGTGCCCCTGAGCCACTTGTCAGAAAAATGTCAGGGCAGTACTGGGAGGAGAAGCCTCCAACAGCAGTGGCTTTCAGCTTACCTTCAGGGGGTATAGGCATAGAAACTGATCCTTCCTGGGAAAAGAATAAATCTCAAGGTGTTTCCTGCTCCCTGGAAACTCCTAGTTCTCATAGCCTGGTGAAAGGCTATGTTAGAGGGTATGGTCTTTTTCTCCTAAAATGATGATGAGTGCAGAAAGTTAACACTTAATCACTTGACTATTTCAGTGGCTAATAAGCACTTTATACTCAGAAAAGTCAAAAGCGTGAAAACAGAAGATCACCAGGGCCACAGTTACTTCTTATGTGATTCTTGCTAGGACTGTCTTAAATGCCAAATTAAACTGTCAAATTAGTATTAGCATAAATTAAACCACTGAAATGGCGAGAATGTGGGCATGCATTTGCATGGTGTGTCTATACATACACACACACACACACACACACACACACACACACACATGACCCAAGAGTTTCTTTACTTCTCTTGTGTTTGTTTGTTTTTCTGAATATGTCACCATGCAATCCGTACATTTCACAGAAGCAAAGAATCTTGTAGCTAGAGAATACATATATCATCCAACCTTTTCATTTTACAAAACAGCAAAATGACCCAGGGAGATGAGATGATTTGCCCAAAGACACAGTCCCTGGTAGAGCCCGGAGCAGAACCCCTACCTCATGTCAGACCAAGGCTGCTAGTACATCAAACACCAGGCATACTAACTTACTGCCAGAGATTTGCCTGAGTGACTGAGAGGTTAGTATGTGTCAGGCTTGGATTCAAGTCTTCCCAACTCTGGGTAACCGGGCCCTGAAACAAGTTGCCTTAGGGGATTGTGTACTACCATTTATCAGAGTCCAGATAAAGCCCAACTGGTACAAGTTCTCCTAGGTCATCTCTCAGCTTCCTTTCAGCTCATGTCCTGTGAATCTTACAGCAGGGAGGTAAACTAGTTGGCATGTAGGGTTCTGATTTCAGTCCTCAGCCTTGACTTATGGTCTGAAACTCTAAAGTTAATAGGCAACTCTAGACAGCCCTAACCGCTGATAGATTTTGGGTTCCTAAAACTAGAATAGAGCTCTAAAAATGTCTGTACCCAAAATAAAAGACTCTGTGTGGAGAGCTATGGCAGTGCCCCAGAGGATATACATCTTTGTTATGTTGGTATTTGAGGGGAAGAGGGAAGGAGAGATGGGAAAGACTGGCCATCTGTAGAGTCCTATTAAGTTCCATTTTTCACATGTGTTTTTATTTGATCCTCACAACTATCCTGTGAAATAGGTAGGATGTATTAGTCCTATTTGATACTGAAGGGGATTAAGGATCAGAGAGGTTAAGTAACTGCCCAAAAATATAAACCAAATCAGTTCTGAAGCTGGGGCTGGAATCTTCATTAATAAGAACTGACGATTATATAGTGTCTTCAAGTTGTTGAACCATTTTACTTACATTATTTTATTTGAGCTTCATGACAACCCAGTGAGTTTTACAGATGAGGAGGGCAAGGTTCAGAGAGGTTAAGTAATTGTCCACTGTCACCCAGCTAACTGTCAGAAGGAGAATTCAAAAAGGGGTATTTCACTACCAGTTTAGTGCTGTACCCTCTATGCCACCCTGCCTAGAGATTTCCAACACATGCTTATTCAACTATAACAGAAAAGGCAATAACTTCCTCCCCCATGTGCCAACTGGATTTTGTCCCAGACCCACCCCCAATATAACATTTTATTTGAATTGCCTTTAATGTGAATTTCTAGCACCAAATCTCAAAAAAGTTGCACATTCAATTACAACAAATATCAGGACATGATGGAGGAGCAGGGCTAAACAAAAGGAATGTTTGGGAAGTCCAGAGATTGAAGAGTACTACAAGAAAACTGTCTAAAAAGTGGCAAATTCCCCAGAGAATTTCTACCACGACAGAGAATGCCACCATTATGCTAAGTGATAATTCTCCATCTGGACATTCAGGGCCAAAAAGAATTCTCAAGAAACTATGAACACTGTCCAACAAAGACATGCCCTTTGTAAATTGCGTTTGGATTTCTTCTAATTATGGTGCAGTCTGAGCAGAAGGAGGATAAGAGAGATGGGATGAGCTTTCTGGAAGATTTGTTGTTGAATGAGGCCTTCAGATGCTGCAGAGGGACTACTGTAGAGGAGGGTGAGGCTTTGGGCAACGCTGCTGTGCTCCAATGGAAAGTGAACGGGTTCTGGCATCCAAAGACTCCATTTGTAATCGGCCTCTTACTAACTGGGTGACCTTGATCAAACCATTTAACCTCTTTCAGCCTCAATTTCCTCATCTATAAAATGGGCATAATAATAAACTAAGAGGTTAGTGAGAAAAGGGAAAGCAAGTTGAATGTGGTCATCAAGGTGTAAAAAGGCAACAAAGAGGTGTCAAGGTTATAATCAGATACTGAGGATGTCACTTTCAACAAGCATAGATGAAAAAGGAGAAAGAGAATGGATTACAAATCAAAATCCAGTGCTATAGTGTTTACAGGAAGCGTACTTGAAGCAGAAAGATGCACAGAGTTAAATTCAGGGAGTGGAACAGAATCTACTATGCTTCAGCTAAAGTTTTGTTTTTTTTTTTTTTAAAGAAGGGGTAGAAATAATGATCTCAGACAAACCAACAGACCTAATTTAAAGAGATAAACAGGGAGGGGCAGCCAGGTAGTACAGTGGGTAGGGCGCTTAGTCCTGGAGTCAGGCAGACCTGAGTTCAAATCTAGCCTCAGATACATACTAGCTGTGTGACCCTGGGCAAGTCATTTAACCCTGTTTGCCTAAGTTTTCTCATCTGTAAAATGAGCCAGAGAAGGAAATGGAAAATCATTCCAGTATTATTGCCAAGAAACCCCAAAAAGGAGTCATGAAGAGTCAGACACAACTGAAAATGATTCAGCAACAACTAATAGGGAAACTCTATTTTACTGAAAGGTACCATAGACAACAAATTAATATCAAGACTAAACATACATGCCAAATGGCATGTCACCTAAATTTTTAATGGGAAAGTTAAATGAGTTACAGGGAGAAATAGACATTAAAACCATAGTAGTAGTAGTAGTAGTAGTAGTAGTAGTAGTAGTAGTAGTAGTAGTAGTATTAGTAGTAGTACTAGTACTAGTACTAGTAGTAATAGTTGGCATTTATATGGTTCCTTTTATATGCCAGGCACTGTGCTAAGCACTTTACAAATATTATCTGATTTGATCCTCACAAAAGCCTTGGGAGGTTGGTGTTATTAATAGTGAGGATCCTCAATTTATCCTCTCTCAGATCTAGGTGAATTGAATCAACAAGAAAACAAAAAAAAAAATAAATGAAGGACCTGAATATAATTTATAATAGCCCTTTAGAGAATATTAAATGAGAACAGAAAGGTATATACCTATTCTCAGCTATGCATGGCATCCTCACAAAAATTTACCATTTATTAGGGCACAGAGCCTACTAAAATCCATAAAAACAGAAATACTAAAAGCATCTTTTAACAATCATGAAGCAAGCATGGATGGAGAATAGGGCCAATATTGCAGGGACTTGCAATAAACGTACAATGTTCATATTTCCATCATAGCCAAGTGACTGATATCTATGTTTGAAGTGTAGGTTAGCCTCCCTCCTAGAAGAGAAGGTGAAAGAGATCTAGGATTACTTCTGCATGCTTTAGGGTATCAGAGATATGAGCAATACAGTGAGAGGAGCACTGGCTCTATAGTAGGAAGGCCAGGGTTCAAATCCTACTATTGACATTTACGACCTGTATGACTTGGGACAAATCAAAACCTACCTTGACCTCAGTTTCCATCTCTTTAAAATGATGGAGTTAACTCAGATACCAAGATAGTGAAATAGTAGAAAGAAGTACAGCCTAGCTGTCTCCCATAACCCTTCCCCCACAATCTAGAAAAAGGACCATCTTGACTATGAAATTCAAGGAAAAGCCACAGTGAATTATTTTTCTACACAAGGCTGGCATAAGGAGATAGACAGAGAGGTCAACTCAGGGATACTAGGGGATGAGCCATGAAACATCAGGAATTAGGTACAGCCATGTAGAGCATTTTAGCATAGGTACTAAAAGAGGATTGATGCTGTCTATTAGGGCAAGAAGAGGTCCCAAAACCACACAGACGGTCCTAACTTTGTGTAGGATACAACAACAGGTGCCAAATGGCAACTCTGGGGTCATAGATCTGGGGTAAATTGAGGAGGGGACTAGGCCCTAGGCTGTGTACTGAGAAAAGAGCAAGTTCAGAAGGAAATGGCAGTTGCATAACTCTGACTCCAGGAACTGAGAAGGGATCTCAGTTCCAGTCCCCAACCCAGTCTGAAGCCTGCAGCAGAATAACCAGGGCAGAAAACTCAGACAAAGGAGGAATCCACATTTCTTTCACTCTGAAAAACAAAGCTTTTTAGTTGACTTATAATGGCTGAATTCAGAAGCAGTCTACTCAGCCTCCAGCCAACCAGAGGCAAGCCCACAGGTGTGTTGCTTAGACCCAAACTCCTGTCAAGAACTTAGAGACCTCAGAGCAGGTTGGCAGCAACCAGACTTTTCCCTGGATCAAGTCACTTTGAAAGCACTGGAAGCTGTAAAGTCCACAGCCCTAGCTGTTCCTGAAATTCTGGAATAACAATACTTAATACCCCCAAGAAAGAAACAGCACGAGAACCACAAGAACACAAGTTCAATCCAGATAATGCCTCCAGAAGTGCATAGAGCCGAGCCTTAACATAAATTCTGAAGTCAGAAAATACGTTGGAAAAATGAGAAAACAAAACAAACAAACAAACAAACAAAAAAAGAATCCCACCAAGAAGAGTTATTTTGTTGATAGATAAAGATATAAACCTAGAAGAAGAGAATGACTCCAAAAATAAAACCTCAAAGGAAAACACAGCTAGGGCATATGGTTA